ATTTCAAATAAATGCTGTTCTTTTGAACTTTCTATTCATCTGTGAATCCTCCTGAAACATAAAATGCATCACAGTTTCCATAAAAATATGAAGCAGCACAACTGTTTCCAACATTGATAATAATCAGAAATGTTTCTTGAGCAGCAAATTAGCATATTATCATGATTTCTGAAGATCATGCGACACTGAAGACTGGAGTAATGATGCTGAAAATACAGCTTTGATCACAGAAATAAATTACATTTTAACATATATTACAACAGAAAACAGCTGTTTTAAACTGTAAAAATATTTCAAAATTTTCACAGTATTTTTGATCAAAGAAATACAGCCTTGGTGAGCAGAAGAGACTTCTTTCAAAAACATTTAAACACTTTTAAAGAAACAGAACATTCATATAATGCATATAACTTGTTCACTAGATTGCAAGTCTTTTAAAGTCACACAACAGCCTTGTGTAACAAATAGACTAAAATATGAGCTATTATTCGCTCACAAATCTCATGTGTATTTAAACAGGGCTACTATAAGACTCTTCTGTATTACTCTCATCGTGCAATTTGCCCTTAAGGCTTTCTTTGCACAAACAAATCATGAGGGGGAGTAAATGACGACAGAACTGTCACTTTAGTCGAAACAAACCCCAAACAAGTCACTTCGCACAAGGTGAGATAGAGTCTCACATGAATGTAACTCAACACGAAAGGATCCCAGACTCCAGGCTGACTGACGATCTCCTTCAGGGTCACAGAGGCTTGTCTGAAGTAGCTGTGCATCTCACGGTTAGCGCACTCCTCCTCTGACAGCAAAAGTATTGACAGAGAACATCATTTAAGACAGATGCAAAGAGAGAAACCCCAGTTTAATGTCAGATTATTGATCTTCTTACCGCTCCCAAGTGCTGAGGTCTTCTTCTCATTCCAGATCAAGTAATCTAGATAACCGCAGTAGGAGCGGATGAGCTTTTTCGTCATGGACTGAGCATTCGACTGCTTGCCGTATCTCCAGCTGTCTGCGATGGACAGCTGCCGCTTGGCTTCATCCATCTGGCCGTTCAGCATAAGATGAAAGCAATGCTCCAAACAGATCTACAACATGACAAGTTACATAACGTACTGATCAAATGCATCGCTTGAGTGCAGCGTGCATGATGTTAGAAGGAGGTCTGGATGTTTATAATGCAATGCTTACCTTTGAGTAGTTTCTGACGCCAAAGTTTTTCAACTGTTCATAAAAAGCATTGAAATCATCAAGGCTGGAATTAGGAAGATGACGCAGAATTTCTGTGCCTAAACGCCACGTGATCTGATGGGACAGAATCAAGCAGATTGTTAATGATTTGTTTAAAATGGGTTTGTTTTTTCATTTGTTGAGAAATGTTGAGCAGCAAAACTGTTTCCAACATTGATAATAAATCAGAATATTAGAATGATTTCTGAAGATAATATGACACTGATGACTGGAGTAATGATGCTGAAAATTCAGCGCTGCATCACAGGAATAAATTATACTTTAAAGTATATTAAAATAGAAAACCATTATTTGAAGTTGCAATAATATTTCACAATTTTCACTGTATTTTTCGTATTTCTGAATAAATAAATGCAGCCTTGATGAACAGAAGAGACTTCTTTAAAAAACATAACAAATCTTACTGATCCCAAACTTTTGAATGGAAGGTTATATCTTGGATGGCCTGAAGGTGAGCACATTTTCAGCAAATTCTCATTTTTGGTTGAACTATTCCTTGTTTTAGCATTTGGTCACCAGACATTTCTTTCCAAAGAGATATTAAATATTCCTTAAAAAATAGACAAGATATTCCAGCAATGACATTATATATGTGACAGGCTATGAATGCAGTGCACAGGGTCACTCCATATGTTATGTTTCTTTCTATGCAAGAAAAGTGAATTGATTTCATAACGCATATAATAGAAACTTATAAGCAGATTTGACAGGGCTCCACAGGCTGATGTACCTCAGACGCAGCTGATCGCACTTGGGGATGAGTTCCAGCCTCCAGTGTCTGAATGTAAGAGCTGAAATACCTCGCAGCCTCCTGCCAGTTATGCCGCAGCATCGCCTCTCTGATCAGTTTCAGACACTTTCTGTTGGACTTGAGGAAGTCGATCGCTGTGAATAAACCTGAAAAACGAAAACACCCGTTTGAGTGAGTGCCCTTGACCGCGTAAACGCTCAATAAACATGATGAGATATCATCAGGACATCACCTCTGGGGTCTGGCTGAGACTGGTGGAGGAGAACGGCCTGTTTAATCTGTTCCTGATTTCTGTCTTTATCCTCCGGAGAGTCCGAACGCGCTGCTGCGATATTGAGCTCAGTCTCTATATCATCCATATTGCGCTGCTTCACGGAGACTAAAAAGTATAATGAGACTAAAAAGCCGTATGCTACAAATAGCACGCAATAAACGCGTTTTGATCCAAATGTAACTCTAAACACGTGTCACGCACACGTGTTTAGAGTAACAGATCTCTCCCTCGTCGAAACGAGCGGAGAGCGTGACCGGTTCACAGCGCCACCTGCCGCACAGGAGGACAATAACGCCAACGAGCGCAGGCGGTTTAATCGATCATTACATAAGACGAGCGATGTTTCAAAAGATGAACTTATGTGAAACACAGTTTATGAAACCATTATTTATAAATGAACACTAAAAACATCCAGTTGTTTTAAACGTTAAGGGAAAATATAATTTTATAATTTTGCAAACATAATGTGAAAATCAAAACAAGTAGCCTAGTTTAACACACACACAAAAAAAACTTTAGTTTTTAACTTAAACAGAAATAAATGACTGAGAACATTATTGAGACCAGATAACGAGGACGAACAACATAACTGTTCAGTAGAGTTCAGAATGGTTTTATTTATTGATTTATTTATTGATTCATTTTTTGAATTTAAAACCCAGCAAGATACCAGACATTTATATCCAAATATATTAAATATTCCTTAAAAAAACATATATTACATAAAAAAGTTTTGTAAATTTTGTAAGGTATTCATTCATGTTTATAAATAAAAATGTATGTTTGAAACAAAAACTATATATATATATATATATATATAGTTTTTGTTTCAAACATACATTTTTATTTATAAACAAAAATGAATACCTTACAAAATTTACAAAACTTTTTTATGTAATATATGTTTTTTTAAGGAATA